AAGATGACCATTCAAACAATCACATTAATAACATGTTAATCACATTAACATTGAACTCATATGAATAATTTCAAGAATAAAGTCAAGTATAAAATTTGCACAAATAGCCACATATACATTATTCGCATAATTACTACATGTTCTCATTTCTATAATTATAATCATATTCTCAACATAGCCATCAATAACTCAAATGGCATGATAATAATAATATGCATGATCAATCTCTTCCTTATATCCCCCCTTATTTCCTCTGACATGAAATCCGTGGGCCAACAACCGGAAGGGATCATCCATGTGGTGAGACTACCCAAAGCCTTAATCATATCATGAGGGGCTACCGGGCCAGGGTTACCTTACTCACTTATGAACACGGTTTCCCCCAAATCACACACTATGGGGTGTCATACCCAAAACTAGCTCTACCCAAAACTCCAGGTAGGCCAATAGGGTCAAGTCCCTTAATAGGAACAATGCTACAGTACCTTACAAGGTAAGTAGCGGCTATAACCCCTAGGATTATTGGTTAATAGCCAAATACCATATGGATTTTGTGTAATTGCTAACTCCTTCACTAAGGCGAACTCCCGCCATATGATCATACTAATAAAAAATACATTTTAAAAACTCATATATATAATTCATAATTTATAGTCAAGATTGTGCACAGCATCATCAACATCAATCTCATTACTTATACCAAGTCACAATTAACTTGATCACAAATCATAAGGTCTCAACAAAACCACATGCATTACAAACAACTATTTCAAATTTAAATATATATATATATATATATTCTTTTGTTTCACCAACATAATTAATTAATTAATATACAAATGCATAAAATAGATTTCCCCCGGTTACCTCAACCTTTGAGAGGTTAAAGGTTACCCCTCAAGTTACAACACTTCCAAAACTTTCCAAAGCTTGAATGGTGTCAAAAGAAAATTAATCTACAATTGATCATATCCCAATATGTCAATAATATTATTAACACAATTTTCACTCATACTCTAACACCTAAATATTTATTTTATTTTATTTTATTTTATATTTATTTATTTATTTATTTATTTATTTTAAGAAATTAGTCTTAGTCTCTTGAATTCTAAAATTTAATTTCATGTATTTGAACGTATCTACTTGGTTTAATAGTCTCCTTCACAATAATTTCATTCAAATATTTTTCTAATATCAAAATTTCTCTTTTTATTCCAAAAATTCGCACATAAAAATACCCAAAAATTGCAAACTTAATTTTTAAGCCTAGAATCATTATTCTATAGCCATAATAATTTATTTCTCATCTCAAATAATCATCTAAATATCAACAAATCAATTTATATTTTTTAGATTTAACTAAAAATCTACCCATAGAAATCTAGGGATAAACTTAAATGCCTCAAATTCTAATTCTATCAACAAAATAATACTTTAGAATTTTTATTACACTACTAACAACCTCAAAACCATATTTATTCAACATAAATTCATCCCTCTTCCAAATCCTAAATTTTCTACCACCACAAAATCAGAAACCAAAGAGAAAATATGACTAAGAAAAATGTTTAGAACACTTACCTAGTTTTAGAATATTTGAAATCTCATATGAAGTATCCCATTATGGAGCTTCACCTTCTAAATCAGTCAGCCTCTCCATCAATGTCGCTCGCTCTCTCGCTCGCTCTCTGCCTCAGCTCGCGCAGGGATGAAATGAAGAAATGAAGGAAGGAGGGTGATTTTATAAAAAAAAATACCGCGGGTCCCACATATTTTTTTTGTCTCCTCTTTCCTCTCTCTTCTTTTTTTTATATTATTATATATATATTGTCATGATTGCCGTGGGAGAGCACCGAAAGCAATTTCTTCTTCTCCTTCTTCTTCTTTCTTTCTTTAGACATTTTCTCTTTTTTTTAATAATAATAATAATAATTTAATATTTTTTTAATTAATTAATTAATTATTTTTTTAATTTTAATTTAAAATTATATCCTGATTAGATTTAACAATCATCTCCTTTTAATTTGCTTACCTCTAAATATTTTTTTTAAAAAATTTCTATTAACTCAAATTAACTATTAAAATTTAAATTGGGATGTTACATGGCTCTATTGTCTTTTTTTTTCAAAATTTTTTTACACATAATCATTTTTTCCCCCAAAAATTTTACCCGTAATTTAATTTCCTAAGAAAAGGAGACATGCACATATTTGTGTGCACACACAAACATGTGCATACTAGTTCAAAATCTAGAATTTCTTTCAAACGAGATAAATGACATTTCTACTACAAGATAACTAGTCATTGACATAATTTTAATGCACGTGCAATTGGTCTGCTACAAGTTATATATATATATATATATATATAAAATAAAAATTTATATGAGCTTGGTCTTAAATATTCATTAAAATTAAGGCATGCTTTAAAACTTGATGAGCGCTTATAAAAATATTTATAAATTATCTACCAATAAAGTTTATACATTGACGGTGAAAGTTGAATTCACAATTTTATAATTTATGGGTCAAATTCTTATAAATTAAACTAACTTTTATTTTACAAGTTATCTCATATATATAAAATAGTTTAAAAGGTGAAGATATGGGCATCAACCAAACCATATGAGTTGAAGTCATATTTTTAGTTTAAATGGACCAATTCATTTACTATTTTTTTTCCATTTTCCATAAATGTAAAAAATTACATCTAAGTAATACATGCTAATATGTCATGTCACTTAAAATTCAAAATAAATTATAATAAAAATACAAATCCGTGAGCTAGTAGATCCACTACAATCCAAAATATATATATATATATATATATATCAGCCATGCCATGTGTCATCAAAATAAAAATTTCAAAAGTGCGTGAGGAGTCAAAAATTTAGGTCGTCTGCTGAAAAGTACGAAGAGTCAACAAGGAGGGGAAATTGGAAACAATTCAACTTCAAGGCTCTGGGTTGAGTTCTATTTTTTTCCCCCAATATGTTTTTTTTTTTAGTGTGTAACGCCAGCATTTTATGTTATTGCTTTTTGACAAAAGCAGGGCTAAGCCCAGAATTTAAAGTAATTATATATCAAGAGAATAGGATCCCAAACAAATAGTAGAAACAATGCTCCTTATAAAGTTAGGAGTACCCTCCTTTACTAATCTATGTGCTGCTTGATTTTGGCCTTGTTCCACAAATTTAATTCTAACTTTCTAATTCCAATGCAGTATATTAATGATCTCAACTGGAACCCAGCTTCTCGTGTGGTTATGTGACCTTGCTCTATCAATCTGATCAACAAGGCTTTTGCCATCAGACTCGAAGGATCCCTTTGAAGCCGAAATCCAAGACCATGCATAGGATCTTTAGTATAGCCCACTCCTCTGCTTCATAGGCACTGAACGATCCCAAATGATGACAAAATCCCATGATCCAGTATCCAGTATGCTCCCTTAGAACACCTCTACATCTTGCTATATCACTTACGAGGAATATAGTTCCATCTGCATTTATATCCTGACCCAACCATTCGGAGGAGGACTCCAATTACTGGGTTGTGGGTGAATTTTAGAATGAAATGAATTCTTCATACTATGAGCATCCACAAAAGTTTGTCAAGTGTTGATAATTACCACCAATGGATTATTCAGTTTCTGAAAATCTGAGTCAAAGCTAAAACTATTTCTCCATTTCACAATTTACAGATTATGACACCCACAATAAGCCCCAGTTCAAATTACTGTAGATTCCAAGATTCTACTTCAGGTTAAATTTCATCCACTCTATCAAGGAATTAGCAAAGAAAGTAGAAGGATACCTTTGCTTCACGAGTCTTCTGCATATTCTCTGAGCGTAGGGGCAGTCTCACCTAATATGTAGTGTATCTTCTACCTCGGATTGACCCCAGCTACAAAGATGAGAGCTTTGAGACTAACGCCGGAAATTTTGATCCGTCCCTCCTGATTTCATCTGGATTAAGTGGGCTAACATTGGCCCATTTTAGTTCAAAGCGTAAATGGTATACGTTAAAAAGCCCATTTTCATCTAACACACCCACAGTCGCAAATCAAGGAGAGTTAAGTGGACTCAAAAAGACTAGTATCTTATAATCTGATAAATTAAAATTTAAATCTTTGTAGGCAGATGTACTGACATTTAGTATCTGACATCTTGAATAAGACCAGTTCTGATAAAGAGATACCCGTGTGTAAAATAAGAAGAAAACTTGTATATTTGATTTAAATTATTAACTTTAAATAATGAATAAAAAAATTTGAATTATTTTGATTTCGAATTAAAAAAAAACTGAATGAAACTTTTTATTTCCTGAATTACCAAAAAAAGTGTGTTAAAAAGAATATGAAGTTACAATTGGCCTGCTGATATTATGCAAATACTAAGTAATACTTCCTCAAAAAATATAAGAGATTTTTAATCAAATATCTCTATTAATAAAATAGTTATTTATTTTTAAATTAATATCATATTTTTATATTTGCCTTTTATTTAATAGGTTATTTTATTTTTAAATAAATATAAAATAATTTATTTATTATAAATACTTTAAAAAATATAGTAATTATACTTTAAAACATTAAAAATCTCTCAACATTTTTTTTTAAATAGAGCGAGTATTACTTGCTAACTGCTCATTTTATATTTTACTTTGGTTCACGGTTTGATTGAATTTTTTTTTTTAAGCACTTGATTTGTTTGACTTATTTGAAGGGAAGATTCCACTAAAAACCCCTGGATCAAAGATAATAATAAAAAGAACAACTAAATTTTTTAAAATTCACTATAAATCTAGGACATTAATTTAAATTAAAATTCTGTGAAAAATGACAAGATTCTCCCCATTGAAAGAAAAAAGAAATTTGCTCAATAAAATTTCAGAAATTTAAAGATTATTTTTATTATTATATCTGGTCCAGCAGTAAAATTTTCCCTTCTTTGAACCCATTTTGGTTCTTTTTTACTTGAAAGCCGAAAGCCTGAAATTGGAGTTGGAGAAAAGAGTGGAGCGAAGCCGATTTCCATTCAATGGGTTTAGCGCGCTTACCATTCTTGGCGCCAAAATTTGACGACTTATAATTTCCTCTTATTCGTCGTCAGGCGCTCTCTGTTTCTTTATTGCTCATCGAAAAGATGAATCGCCAGAGGTCTTTACTCTCATTCTTCCAAAAATCTTCGTCGACCAACTCAGATTCCGGCTTGGGCGGCAACCGTGGAGCTCCCAGTTTGCCGATTAAAGGAGACAAGCACAGTGTTCCGTCTGCTTTCACTCAACCGGCGTCGCTTCTCGCAAATGATTCATCCGCTGAAGTCAGGGGAACTGACACGCCGCCAGAGAAGGTGCCACGTCAGATTTTGCCGTCCACTTTCTCTTCAAATGATAAAAGCAATGGCGCTACTCCGTTTTCGAGAATCATGCATAAATTTGTAAGAGACGAAGATGGTGGCAAAGTTACTCGGAGGTATTTTTAATTTGTTTTTACCTTAGATAGTTTTTTCTCCGGTGAAAGAAAAACTGAGAGTACTAAATGCAATTTGAACGTCATTTATCGTCCCTATTTTTTTAGCACACATACTATCTCCGGGGAAGCTGAAATGTGTGCAATTTTGAAAGCTTTATTAAAGCCAAATTGCGTTCATGTTTTATTCATCTAATAGAAATGGTAATCCTGAGATTGAAAAGATTTATTCTATAACTTTCATGTAATTGAAATCCAAAAGGAGACATCAATATACTATCCTTCTTCAAGGATGATATTATGGAAATGACGCTTTCTCTAGTCATTCAAAATTTATAAGAAGTCCGTGCTGACGATTTGCGGGCGCTTCAATAAATTGATGTCACAACGTAGATTAACTTGAAGCACAGTAACGGATTTTCATACTCACACACAATTTATATTTTTGTTAACCACGTTAAATACACTATACACATTTTCACATGCGTTGCATAGAATCTCAGAAATAAACTACATTGATTATGACTTGTAAATGGTGTCACTTATTTTATATGTATGTATGTATGTATGTATGTATGTATGTATGTATATTCATATTGATGATTGTAATACTTTTGCTTCACATCACTTTTGTTTCTTGTAAAACAATGCCATGAGAAAATTTTTGCAGGAGCCTGTCATCCATTGACATATTGACTAAAACATCGCCAGCATCCGGAAGATGTGTGAATGCAAACCTTAAAGAACAGTCCAAACAAGAAGGAGCTTTCCAACCTATCATAAAAGATGATGTTGCAATTTCCAATAAGGCTGATCAGGAAGACATCATTCCTGTTGAACACAATGAGGATATTCCTAGACCTGAAACCCCAGGGATGCAGCCTCTTGCCTCTCGTGCAAAGCGATGTCGAGATGATGGTTCCAAGTTTAGTTCCTTGCTAGATTCTAGCAAAAGAGTCAAATTTTTGGAGGATTTAACATCCCTGAAAAGGACAAAAAAGGAAGTAGACATGGTTAGCAAGTTTGAGTGGCTGGATCCTTGTCGTATTAGAGATGCTAATGGAAGGAAGCCTGATGATCCTCTGTATGACAGGACAACCCTTTATATACCTCCAGAAGTTTTGAAAAAAATGTCAGCATCTCAGAAACAGTATTGGAGTGTCAAATGTAAATACATGGATGTTGTGCTATTCTTCAAAGTGGTTAGTCAATTCAGTTCTTTGAATATCAGCATATAAAAGCCTATTCTACCAAGTTTATTTATTTATATACTTTTGTTTTGATACTAAATTCATTATTTGAAATTTTATTGCACCACAAATTATGGTCACTTCAGGGGAAATTTTATGAGCTTTATGAAATGGATGCTGAAATTGGCCATAAGGAGCTTGACTGGAAAATGACATTAAGTGGTGTAGGAAAATGTCGGCAGGTGGTTCTAATTCAATGATTGCTTCTTCTTTTTTCCTTGACCCTTTTTTGGTTATTCGTCCATCTGGAAAAGCAAGTGATTTGTTATTTTTTCTTCAGGTTGGTATCCCTGAAAGTGGGATTGATGACGCTGTTCAGAAATTGGTAGCTCGTGGGTAAGGATGGAGTTGGAATTTTATTAGCCAGATCATTGTTTATTTCTGCTATTTAATGCCATTGGGATGATATAAATTTGTATTATATACAAATACAATTAATTAATGTGGTGTCTGAGGATGTTTAACAATGACTCATGAGATCACACCATGTCTACCACTTGTTAAAATTAATTAATGTGGCTGTCTGAGGATGTTTAACAATGACTCATGAGATCACACCATGTCTACCACTTGTTATCTTTCCTAACTCAAGATAAAGAGTACAAAAATCTAATCTTATTATAGATGTCAATTCCATAGTGCTTATTGTTGTAGAATCATGTGTTTTTTTTCTTTCCTCATTGTTAAGATACAAGGTTGGAAGAGTGGAGCAATTGGAGACATCTCAAGAAGCAAAGGCCAAAGGCGTTAACTCTGTGAGTTTTACTTTGCTTGTAATCATATTGTTTTGAATAAATTCATGCAAATTTTTTTGTGAACTAGTTGCGTGTGATAATTTTGCTTCAATAAAATGCTTCATTTGTATTTTTACTGTAAAATTATGATTTGGAGATTATGTCTTAGGATGGAGAAGGGTGCATATAAAATAATAGTATGTTAATATTTTTTTTTCCTATTCAGAGGTTAGTTTGTTAATTCCTTGACAGTCTAACCTAAATAACCTGTAATCTCCAGCACCCCTGGACGTGATGATTGATACTTTGATGTTCTCTTAGTCTCCTACTTTTCTTTCATTTATCTTTCCACTATCATTATCTCAGGTCTGTGTTTATTCACCTTAAATTATATAGTTCTCATGTGAGTTTATTCAAATACAAAAAGTTGCAGTTGAACTTGCTGTTATCATTTGAAAGTTGTTTTTATCCCAGTTATGTAAACTCCTGGAGTTGACATCTGATCTGACTTTATGTTATAATGCATCCTTGATGCTGTTGGATTCATCGAGTTTTCTTATGTGACTGCTTGGACTTGGATTTCCTTTTGCACGGTATGATTCACTGTCTTGTTGCAGATTATTCCAAGAAAATTAGTTCAGGTTGTCACTCCATCAACCTTGGTGGATAACAATATTGGTCCTGATGCTGTTCATCTTCTTGCAATAAAAGAGGTTCACACTGCTGCTGGTTTCTCTTTTTTACATAGTTGCCAGATTACATGTAGTAGCAATGCAATAGTAATTTTACTTTTACCTTTTTATTTATCTTGTGTGTTTGATGAACATTTTTCAACTTCAATTCAGTATATTTCTCCTAAATAATCGTTTTTTACATTCTGGCATATGTGGAAATTTGGTAAAAAGATTTATTCAGCTTTTGTTTATATCTTCAGAATTGAAGCTTGGCTTGAAATATTGCAGCCATCAAAGATTTTTGTTAACCCATAGTAATAGATGCTTTCAGATTGACGTTAGAAAGGACTCCTGACATTTAAAAAATGTTCAACATTCAAGAAAAGCAATGATGGAGACTAAGGTAGTATGGGGTGCGTAAGTCACATGGCTTGAGATACTCCATGGAAATTTTAAGTAGGTAGTTCAACCTCAATAGCTAGCTTTTGGGGGAGATTTCTTCATCCCATTTGAGCACCCATCAACTAGTAAGGTGTCATAGAGTGTGGATACCGCAAGTTTGCTCTCAGTGTGGGGCCAATTCATGGACACTAAGGTAAAAGTAGTATGGGATATGTCGCGCCCAATTCAGAATTTCCCGAGGAGGAAAATTGAATAAAAATAAATTTATTTGGAGTCATCACCAAAATTTTATAGATAATTTTGAAAACATTTTTGACATGTGATCTATGCATAGAGAAAAAGGTAAGAGAGTCGATTGTGTGGGAGGAAGGCGTTACAACACCCATTCATGTGAATGGTTACCTTAAGTTAACTATATAAATTTAAATATCCTTAAAAATATCTTAATTATCCTTAATAAAAAAATAAGATAAAAAAAGTTAGAAAATTAAAAGGGAAAAATTTTATTTATAAGTTAGACTTGATCTAGGATGAAACCCTAGAGCTTACGTACCCTTTTGAGGGATCAAAGCCCACGTAGTTCTGGGTCATGTCTCTTGGTTGGAAATTTTTTAAGAAAAATATTAATTATTAATTTTTTATAAAATAGCTTTAATGTTGGTTTGTAATTTTTATTTATGAAAATATCTTATTTCTTTATTTGTAACAAAATTCTGAGAGATAATCTTGGAAAAAATATTATAATAAGATTTTATGAAAGCTTCTTACTGTACATTCACCTTTGAAAAATTATTTTATTTTATGTGTTTTTAAGAAAATATTTTATTTTTAAATGAGGATAAAATATTTTAAAATATGATTATAAATTTGCGAGGAATCAGAAAGTCTCAAGCAACTGATGATTTTAAAACTATGCACATGCGATAATTTATCGGTATGTATAGGATAATAAATTAATTAATTTATAAAATTGCAAGAACTCTAAAAGTCTAAAGCAATCAAAAAAATATGAAACAATTCTAATGATGCACTGTGATAATTTATCGCCACTCATGATAAATTAATTAACTTCAGAAAGAGAAGAGAACTTTAAAGATTAAGGCTCATATGTGAAGATTCAAGATGAAGAAGAATAAAGCAATAGCTCCAAGAAATCATCTCACGCACACCATATTCGATCACACGAATACAAAAATTTGTAATTCAATTACAGGAGAGATCACGTACAGAGCTCTAAAGGTTCTAGACTCAAACTTTATGATTCAACCTTATGAAATACTTGATTAATGTAAAAGCATGCATGCCCAAAGTTTAAGAGAAGGTGAACTTACCTCTATAAATCTCAATCCACTTAAATCTCTATCGTCCTTTCTCCCATAGTTTCCTTAAGTCTCTAACTATCCCATGCTCTACCTTTGCTTTCCTTTATATAGACCCTACACTTAGGGTTTCTCTAGTATCTCAATCCTATCGTGATCAATATTAGTATTTTATATATTTTTATATTATTATTATTATTATTTAGATATTAGATATTAATTGTTATCTTTCCTATTATTATATTTTGATTATTATATTATTTTAAATCTTCAAATCTTAATATTAGATATTAGGTTATCTTGAAATCTTCAAATAAGATTAGATTATATTATCTTGAAATCTTCAAATTATAATATCATATTATATTATATTCTGATTATTTCAATTATTATATTGTGATCTAGCTTGAATATATATTTTTTTATTATCGTTGTACCCAACTTTTTTTTTTTATATTTTCTCGTAAAATTTTTTTTTTATTCTTATTATTTTCGTTTTTTTATTTTACTATAGATATTATCTTATTTACTTATTAGGACCTTGACAAAATATGGTGTTCACAGGATACCTAATTCCCACATTGAGTTGTATGGGATATTTTGAGGTATTTATATGGGTTGATTCTCCATCTTAATCGACAGCTTTTAGGGGAGGGTTTCCATCCGACTTGGCTACTCATCAAGTGGCAATTTGATAACTTCCTTTTTCCTTTTTGCCCCCCATAGTCTATATAAATTGGGCTTCTGCTTTGTTCTCAATTATTCCCTATTTCTAAATTATTTGTCCCCTCCTGGAAAATTATCTTGTGAATCTTGCAAGATGCTGACATTTTGTTGCACTGAAATTTTTTGCAGGGGAGTGACCTGAATAATGGTTCAGTTCAGTATGGCTTCGCTTTTGTTGACTGTGCCGCACTTAGGTTTTGGGTTGGTTCCATTGATGATGATGCATCATGTTCTGCTTTAGGGGCTTTATTGTTGCAAGTATGTTCTTCCTGTACTTATTCTTGCTACTTAGTTTGAGTGAACAGTTTTAATTTTGTATAATTGGCTAATTTGTTTCTGAGAGTTTGATTTTAGGTGTCACCTAAGGAAGTTATATATGAAAGCAGAGGTGAACAGTTTTATCTCCTTTTTCACTAGGCTTGAACTAACCTTGTCTCTAAAATTGACAAACCTGTGATTTAGTGCTGAAACATTATTTGCTGCAGGGTTGTCCAAAGAAGCTCAGAAAGCATTTAAAAAATACTCATTAAATGGTAAGAATGACAAGATATGAAAAGCATTGTTGGCTATACAGACACGGAATTTCTAAATGGGGTTTTTTCAGTTCTTTGCATTCCCTGGAAGTTGTATGTGATATATAATGCAACTTTGATGGGAAAAATGGTCTTCATTGCTTGATATATCTTATAACAAATGTGTCTTGCGTTTGTTAATGTGAATACATCATTCCTAGCTGCAATGAACTGTGCTTTAACTTTTGAGTTGACCAATTGTTCTAATTTATCCACCCGTGAACTCAGGTTCAGAGAGGTGCACTTTTTGTGCAACTTACAAAGTCAACATTTGTATTAAATTTTCCGGATTCTATTACGACTTATCAGAATTTTGAGTAATTATTGGTATCCAATGCTCTGAGTAAATAATTGAGAATCCAATTCGTGACACCTCACCTTTTAAATTAAAATAAAAGTTTCAACAGAATTGTTTTTAGTCCATGCTTTAAGTTCAAAGGGCTTTAGCGTGAGGATTGCATTAGGGATACTAATACGATTCACTCTTAGGCCTCCTAATATTAAAGCTTTTGAGATGCAAACAGGCTTTGAGTGCAAAATGTTTGTCACAATACTAAGTTAAGATTGTAAATTTTAAAAAAAAGTCAATGCATTTTTTAACAGGTTTTGTTTCTCTTGTAGGTTCCACGACACTACAATTGACTCCAGTGCAGTCGCTCACTGACTTAATATCCCCTGAGGTTACTGATTTAGTTCGCTTGAATGGATACTTTAAGAGGTCATCTGATTCACTAGATCATGCACTGAGCAAAGTGAATCATCCTGAAACCACCATGTGTGCTCTTGGCGGATTGATTAATCATCTCACTAGATTGATGGTATGCTTGATATTATGCCCATTTAGAGAAATGTTACTAATGGAACTCACAAGCTTGAATATAATGATGAATCGGTTCGACCTTTCTTTCAGTTGGAAGATGTCCTGCAGAATGGGGATATATATCCATACCAAGTTTATAGGGGCTGCCTCAAAATGGACGGACAGACATTGATTAACCTTGAGATTTTCAGTAATAATGCTGATGGTGGTCAGTCAGGCAAGTCCTAGCATTTCTCTCTCTCTGTTTTTTTTTTTTTTTAAAAACAAGGATCAGGATATTCTACTTATTTTTGTGAGCAACTCGTGCAATCCTAAAGTTTATCTGCTTCATCTTCAGGCACATTATACAAATATCTTGATAGTTGTGTAACCTCATCTGGAAAGCGGGTTCTAAGGAGTTGGATCTGCCATCCTCTAAAAGATGTTGATGGGATAAACAACCGGCTAGACGTGGTTGATGGTCTAGTGTCGTGCCCCGAGATTGTGTCACTCATTGCTCAACATCTTCACAAGCTACCAGATTTGGAACGATTGCTTGGCCGGATCAAGATTACCCTTCAGTCATCAGGTCCTCTCCTACTGCCAATGTTTCGCCAGAAAGTATTGAAGCGGAGGGTCAGTTCTGCTGCTGTTTTTTGTTTGTGAAATATTTCTTACTCTGAAGTCTGAAGTTCTCTTCATTGCTCGGATGTTTGGCTATAGCTCTTTCCCCTTTCGTCTGTGCTCTATTAAGAACAGATTTGTCGCTCCTTGGTCCCTTTCTTCTATGGTCTCATTTCTTTATGACATATGTCTCTTTCTGTTTCTCTGTGACGTTTTAAAGTAAACCCATTGATGTGTTGGAAAGGTTTTATTATAATTTTGGCTACCTTGATTTTCAGTCCATTACGTGTGATCAGTTGAATGTCTGTTTTAGAAGTGGGTCTTTCTTATTTTTGTGAAAATGCTAGGGGCACCATTGTAAATTCCTTTATGCCTTGAGCCTATAAATGGGCTCTCCTCACTTGTAAATGCATCCTATTCACATTGAAGATGAACAAACTTTCTTCTGTTTTTTCCCCCATATTTTTCCGATCTATTCGTAGTCTGTAATCTATGTCTATTATTGAGTGCACTTTAATGAATTTTAAGTGTTACAGGTGAAGGTGTTTGGGTCACTTGTGAAAGGCCTTCGAACTGGGTTGAATTTATTACTGCTTCTACAGAACGAGGGACCTCTAATGTCATCCTTTACTAAAGTTTTTAAAGTTCCAGTTCTGACTGGTAGCTGTGGGCTTGATCAATTTCTTAGTCAGTTTGAAGCTGCTATAGAAAGTGACTTTCCCGATTACCAGGTATTTTTCTTCCTTATTCAGTATCAATTGCCATGGACAGGAGCTTTCTCCACATACATGTTCTTCGTACATTTTGATTTAATCAATGATTTGAACTGTTAAGTTTCTTCTGTACGGAGTTGGCAACTGTCAAACTGATCCAGTGGATGTAGCACAATGGATATTTTAATTAGCGCTATATTCTGCAGTCATTCATGTTCTTTAAGGCAATTTATATACAGTGCAGAATGTTTTTATAACATAAACGTCTGATTTTTGTATTTGGTGACAGAATCATGAGGTAACAGATGCGGATGCTGAAACACTTGCTACACTCATAGAAGTGTTCATGGAGAAAGTTGCCGAATGGTTTGAAGTTGTTCATGCCGTCAATTGCATAGATGTCCTTAGATCTTTTGCAGTCACTTCCAGCATGTCATGTGGAACCATGTGTCGGCCAGTCATAGCGTCTTCATCAAAAAGCACAAGTCAAGATTTTGTGGGACCTGTGCTTAAAATGAAGGGGCTATGGCATCCATTTGCCCTTGGAGAGCTTGGAAATTTGCCTGTCCCCAATGACATAAATCTTGGTGAGAACACAGATGTCCGTCATCCTCATACGTTGCTGCTGACTGGACCAAACATGGGTGGAAAATCAACACTTCTGCGTGCCACCTGTCTAGCAGTTATTATGGCCCAGGTTCCCTTTCATTTTATCCTTTTAATTATATTAAGCATGCTGGATGACCACTTGGATTTATAGAGATTATGCTACGCTCATTTTTGTTGCATACGAAGTACAGAAATTTAAGATACTTTTCCCCTGATGGAAGTTAAAAATATTCCACAAAATTGTAAACAATAGGTCAAGGGAACAATATGTTACATTTCCTTCATTTATCATCTCGTACTGTCAGACATATTATGATGTCCAGTTAGTTTTCTTTTTATGATAGATTTGTCTCTGATGTCTCTGCAGCTGGGCTGTTACGTGCCATGTGAAAACTGTGATCTCTCAGTTGTGGATATCATCTTCACAAGGCTTGGAGCCACTGATAGAATCATGACCGGCGAGAGTATGTAGTCTTAAGCATAAAAGCGTGCTTTTTTCAATAAAGTGACCATTTCTATCATGCAATTGCGTTATCAATTGCTTTTTTTTTTCCCCATTAATTGATCTTTTTATCAAAAAAAAAAAAAAAACCGGTGTGAAAATTTGCCCTACTTGCTCTAGGCCATGATATTTCTAACACAACATTGGCATTTGCTTTGGGAATGGAACATCCAGCAATAATTAACTGGTAGCCTGAACGTGTCATTTCGAGGGGAATATCCTTATGGGCTTGCTAGTTGGGATAGGACTTGCTATTGCCGAATATATAACGTTGAAAATCTGTGAATATAACTTAAATGGCTGACATTTAAATTTAAAAAAAAAAACCTCTTCTTTCTCGAGCATAATCTAAAATATAAGTAGACTAGGGAGATTTTTCTAATTATATTGAAATTGCGTGGTATCTTTTGTCTGTGTTGATATATATATACGTAGATCTCTTAAGAAAACAAGCTGCATTACACTTTTTTTTTTTTTTTAAGTTGCATTACACTTTAGTTCAATTTAAATTTGAACTAAAATATGTTTCATTATGAATACATTGTTAAAAAAAAAAAAACTAGAATGCGTTCTTGCATATTTTTATGATGGTATTTGGTTAAAAAAGTTATGATTGGACTAAAGTGTATGTCTAGAAAATAAAAGAGATGCCTATAGAATTTTAACGAAGTTTAAAATTATCTATGTATCTAGCTAAGTGAAAATGTATATTAGAGGGTGAAACTAAACTTTTTATGGTCAAGTGCCTATAGAATTTTAACGAAGTTTAAAATTATCTATGTATCTAGCTCATTGAAAATGTATATTAGAAGGTGAGACTAAACTTTTTATGGTCGAGTTGTGACATGCCTTGAACATCAAAGGGCAGACGATATGATTGCATGGAAATTGGCATACATATAGATGACGCATGCAGAGGATATTGCCTTCCTAAACACATCAAAGAACAGTAGGCTCGATTTCTAAATGAATCAAACCGTTCATGACTTGGGAATTTTTGAAATCTGATATTTAGAAGCTGACATGTGCGAAGCTACTGTTTGTCTCAAGGCTTGAAGGATTGCTAATAAAAAGGTTCACTTTTGTTTGCAGGCACCTTCTTCATTGAGTGCACAGAAACTGCACAAGTTCTTCAGAATGCGACTCAAGATTCTCTGGTCATTCTTGACGAATTGGGCCGGGGAACTAGCACTTTTGATGGCTATGCAATAGCATACTCAGTAAGTTGCTGCTTTTAACTACCTGAATTTTCTTGAAGTGTTGCTGTTCTATGTTTACTTGTTAAATTTCAGGCTTAGTTAAAATATTTTATTGTTCTCGTCGATTCTTTAACACATGACTGAATAGTGTGAATCACTATCCTGGTTCAGGTTTTCCGCCATCTGATCGAAAAGGTCAACTGTCGCTTACTATTTGCCACACACTACCATTCGCTCACAAAAGAGTTTGCCTCTCATCCACATGTTATGCTGCAACACATGGCCTGTGCTTTTGAGTCAGAATCTGATGGCCATTCCAAACGTCGAAAGGAGCTAGTCTTCCTGTATCGACTTTTCGCCGGAGCGTGTCCAGAGAGCTACGGATTGCAGGTGGCTCTCATGGCTGGGATCCCTGAAAAGATAGTGAATGATGCTTCAAAGGCTAGCCAACGGATGAAGAAATCAATTGGAAGAAGTTTTTGGTCAAGCGAACAGAGATCAGAGTTCTCTACTCTTCATGAAGAGTGGTTGAAGACCCTAGTGTCCATCTCGAGAATAGAAGATTGTCTGACCTTCGATGAAGATGCTTTCGATTCGTTGTTTTGTATGTGGTGTGAGCTGAAGACTTCGCTTAAATCAGGAAACTAGGAACAAGGAGCAGATTAGGCAGAGTAAAAAGTCTATAGGATTGCATGTATATTATGGTGTTTTAACTTTAGTGATTGGCAGATTTCAAGTAAAGGCTGCTGCTTCCCACATGCGAGATGGCTCGAAATGTTTCCTGTGTGAAATCATCGATAAAGCATTCTTCATATCTATGCCCTTGTGTTACACATTGATACGTGATACTTACAATTTTCCCACTCATCGATCCTAAACAGCCTTGAAACGGCCAGTAACAGAATTTGTCATGTCAGACATGACTATTAGTGCTAGCAATTGGCTTTGGCATTAATTGGTGGTGGCAATTGGAGTCAAAGCTATGGTTAGCATTTGGTATTGTGCTATTTTTTTAGCCAACCTGATGTGTTATTTTGATATCTTAATAACTTAAAAAATATTATTAATATATTAAAAACCTCATTACAGTGTGTAAAAAATAACGATCTTTGTGTTGTTAAAAATGGCCATAAATTCTTGACATTTTATATTTGTCCTGCTCAAAGTGGCCAGCATGGGTGAATTCTTAGTTCTTACCATAAATTCTTAGAAGCATGTCGGGTCTAACATCACTTAGCGAGTACTGCCAAAGCAGTTAAGGACCCAATTTGTAATTTTGTAATCACCAACTTTCGGGTAACATCAGTGGTTAAAGAAAACTGTACAAAAATATATGCTCGTTACCATTGTCCCTATTATAAAAAAATTTCTAATTACTTCACCAAAATCAATAAAAAATATTAAGTTATTAATTTCATCTGAAAATAAAATAAGCTTTCCATTTTACCCCTATATAAATGAAAATTTTTAAAATTTACATTATATTTTTTATAATTAATGAGTTTAAATAAAAGTAATATTAACAAAAATATTTAATATCCTATTAAGTGCCTTATATTAAGGATAATTTTTTAAAAAATACCCCATAATAGAAATAAGAGAGTATCTTACATTTCAAAATGGTAACATCTTAGCATTGGATAAACGTATAGCTTGTTTTCGATGTTATGGAGATGAAAGAAACGGGAAGGAAAAGACCAAAATTGCTTGAAGGAATCATCTGTCCTTCCAATTCCATAAAGATTAAAAGGAAAAAAAAAAAAAAAAAGGAGCCCTCTAGAAATTAACCCCAAATCAAACACACAGGACTATCTGAGAACGCATCATGCATAATTGAACCGTCACAGTGATTATGTATTTAAAGAAGCGAACACCAACACTAATTGGTTAACTCACCAAACTAATCAAGACAACTTTGACATTCTTTTTAATAAATTGACCAAACCTAGGTCATATTTGCTTATTAACATGAAATAAAATGAAATAGATTGAAAAAATAAAAGTAAAAATAAAATAATCAAAGGAGATAACTAAGTAAATTTATAAGGAGAAGGAGCAATTTAATTCATGAGGTTGAAAATCACGATTCTTGAGATATTTACAAGGTGTGATGATTTCTATATTTATAATACATATTAATGAGTTTTATCATGTTTATCATGGGGAGAAAGATGATTTAATTCATTTTTGTCTTAATTTTTTCCATTCCATTCCATTCTCCCCCCCCCGGCGGGGGGGGGGGGGATGAAAATTCAGGTGCGATGCATGTAAATTTTGCAAGTTATAAGCATCAAGCTACCAATTTCTTGACGACATAATAAGGACCAAGCATCTGGCTGAAATGGGCAACAGTGATCGCAACATATGACAAAAAAATGAGAGGTACCCCGTCCCCCGTTCATAACACTACAAAACTATTAAACCGTGGAAACAGTTTCCTAATTGTAGGAATAAATACAGATGGTTAAAACCTTGAACTTGTACGTCACACACTCACTTGAAGGCGATCTTTTCATCCAATAATGTTGCACCAAACATGTACGACCTTTGCTAAGATTCCAACACCTAAAACAAAGTAAAATGAAGCAAATACATGTAAAATGTAAATCAATGTCACTTTAATCCAATGTAATATTGAACAGTCAAATATCTTGCACCATTTACAATTAGAAATCATGCATGTATGTAATGAAAAGGCTCACCCTTTAATCCAAACAAGGATCTTACAATGTTAACGAACAGTAAATAAAAGATGCAGCAGCTTGAAATAAGACACAGATGTCTACGTTTGAGACATTATTAAAACAACCACCTCTTTACGTAATGCGTCGGGCAGGTGAAGGTAGTCTAAAATGAAAAACTCTCCTAAGAACAAGCTCGACAAAATTATTCCACATTTTAAAACCAAATTACCAAGGTATGGAAAGTTACTTCCTTTGCAGCGGTCTCACATACTAAGCAAGGTTAAGAAAAATACACACTCCGAATGCCATTTCTTTTACAGGATTATCTTACATATCCCAATCAATGCAAGAAGAAAGCATTATTCATCTTACAAAGTTTGGAACTTCCCCTTTCTAATTAATCTTAAATCTGTTTCTGTCAACAACACCAGTCTCGTTCTGCGACTCGCTTGCCACTACCACTCCATATTATGAATATATAACCATTTCATCATTCTAGCTATTCATTCAAGTAAATTTCCCGTGTTGAAAACAACTTATTTATTAAATAAGGAACTAAACGTGTCAAATAATGCTAACTCATTTCTAACAAAAGCTTTACGACAATCCACTGAAAGCAGCAAGTGAAATTAACTAAAAGCCATTTACACCAACAATAAGGATAGCATTAACAAGACAGAGGAAGACTTAGTACACAGTTTTAACAGAAATAACATCTTAGAAGTCATCTTCATAACATGAGAGTACTGTATTTAAGTGAATGCCTTGTGTGCCATGAGTGAAATATATACTGAAACATTAAACATGTAATAAAAAAGGCGTACCAAAAGGTAACACAATCAATGTCTTGGTGTTAAAGTACTTGAAGTGAAAGAAGGAACAAATAGATTCAATAATCCTTTTCATTCAGCAATTTTCCAGCCCTCGTAAGTAACACAATTACCCTAGACAGCATAACGAATCACAAGCAACAAGACAAAGGATGCAAAAGTATCCACGTTCAACAAGCAATTCAAAATTCAAGCAAGATAACTTAACAGCAACCACCTACATCATTCACTAACATTCTCTGTAGATGTGTCCGAATCCTCCTCATCTCCTTCTTGCAAGCTGGCAATTTCAGCCTGAGCTCTTTCCAAAATCTGCTTCTTCTGTAGCTCTAACTCCCTATTAAAATCCAATCTCATCTTCTCTAACTCCATCATCTGCCGCCTCTTTCGATTCTCAATTTTCTCATATATTTTACCAAACTTCTGAATAGAATCCGCCAACTCCCTAAAGGAAGACTCTTCCCCATCATCATTATCTACAATCCTAGTCCTCCTCGGCGGAAGCCCATCCGAATCATCTTCAGACGTCTCTGACTCCCCAGGGCTATCCCTCATCTCATCCAACCCATTCGATCGATCTAAATAAACCCTTGTATTCATGAACACATACTCCCCTGAATCCATTCCACAGGAAAGTCCATATTCTTGCCTCGCTGATGAAGCCATTAACATATCCATCTTCTTAAAATAAGCCCATTTACTAGAATTCAACCCCATTTCATCCACTTTCGCTTTCTCTTTCTTGTACCTTCTTTTCAGTTTATCCAACATATTCCTACACTGTGCCACAGTCCTCTCCATCTTCAGCTCCTCCGAAAACTTCTCGGCCACATCCTGCCAATCCTCAGACCTTAAGCTCTTTCTCCCAAGTTGAAGAAATTTGTCCCCCCAAACCTCCAGCAGAACAAACGTCGCATGCTCCGTCCATTCATCTGTTGGGCTTCGATTCCCGTGTGAAAGCTTCCCATGAGGTACCGACTCATAGTTCGAAACAGACGGATTCCGCAATTTCCTTTTCTTCGGGTTTCTCTCAAACCCGTCATCGCTGTCAATATTCACACCATTTTCCCCATCACCATTATCGTCCTCCAGGTCATTCCCTACATCATATTCATCCATTTCTTCATCTTCACCGCCCTCGTCGTATCGACTGATCACTGGTCGATGATAAGGGGCAGCGCGAATCAAATGCTCTTGGCGATGAGAATAATTAGGACGGTTCGAAACGTAGGGCTTTCGAGGGTACGTTGCATCATCTTCCATAATATTGTCCATGTTTGGTAATATAGGAACAGCTAAGCGATTTAGCAGAATCGCAATTGAATATTTTCTGAAAATTGATGGAGTAAAACAAAGAATTTAAGAAGCTAAACACAAACTAACTCGCTAAGCAAGATTCAGCATTCAAAGAGGAAAAGAATTTTGGAGACGATGGAGGATGAATAGAACGCGAATTCGTTAGGGTTTTGGGTGTATACCGAACTAAAACGAGGCACACGAAGGAGAGATGAGGGTGAGGATAGACTAAATGGGCTGAAATGTTGTACAGTGAACCAAGGGGTCCATAAAGGTCTGGTAATGAAACTAGTCAAACATGGGCCTTCATGGACTCAAATATACATCAACTGGGCCCATATGCTTCTAATGTTGATGGGCTTAAAGAAAAATATGAATTTTGGCATGGTTAAACTCAAATTGTGCTATTCAAATTCAAATAATGATCACAAACTAAAAGGCTCCTGAGAGATGTGTTTATTTGCCATGGTTTTAAAAAACCGTTGAAAGGAATTCTAATAAAAGGGATTATGAATAACATCCAAATCATCAGCCTTCAATGCAAAACCCAATATCATCCACAATCTTCAAAATCTTGCTAAAATTCTCCTCCGTATAGTTGCTAAACGGGGAGAAATTATTGGGTTTTTATCCCCTTGTATGAATCTGAAACAAAGAGTTGAGTTCTATTTATTAAGCTGATTGGAATCTTATTTGGGGGTGATAATATGGAAATTATGGAACTGGAGGAATGAATTTATCTTCAAATCCAACTATCATAAACCCCAGGACCCGGTTTCTGTGATCAACAATACTTGGAGGCATTTTGTTATGGAATCTCCAGTGGCTTCCTTTGCCGAAGATCAATATGATTTTAAACATTGGTGCCCACCTCAAATATCATGACTTAATTTTAATGGGATGGAGCAGTTATTCAAGTGAATAATAAAGCTGCATTGGTGGTTTGTTGCTTGATAACAATGGAAGATGGATTGTTGGATTCTCTTCCTCTATTGGACCCTGTAACGTGGCGGAAGCTGAAGAATGGGGCTTACTGCAGAATGGGTTGCAAGAAGGTGATTTTTTAATCAGACTTGAAGACCTTAGCGGACAGTATACAGCCAGATGATCTGCGAGACATGAGATATAGCTCAACCTTGCTGGAAATTAAACCCATATTGACAGCTCAAAAATATTTCCAGAGAAGTTACATTCCAAGGAATACCAATCGCGTTGCCGATGCCACGACAAGGAATGGATTTAGTGAATCTGAAGTGTTTGATATAGCCCCTACTTTCCTTAGGGCCCTGATACAAAACGATGTTTTGGGATTCAATCCCTGCCATTTTTAATTTTGTTGTAATTTTAGGCTAGTTCCCTCTCTTTATACCTAAAAAAAATTTTTCTCAACTTGTATAGTGATTTAATTTATTAAAGATAAAAAAAAAAGTTAACACCTCCTTCATCTACCTCTTTCTAATTAGGAGGGAGTGGATTTTGAAAGGTTTTGCTACTTTTTTTTTTCTTTTTGTATTTTGTTTGTGATTCCTTTGTTGGTCCCTTGTACTTCTAAAGTAATATAATAGCTCACCTTTTCATTAAAAAATAATCTCACATTTAAAAATTAAAAGATAAAACATGAATAAATAAAGTTAAAGGTGTGATAAAAAAAATTACTTAAGATATTTTGATATAGTAGACTATCTTTAAATATATTTAATGTAAAGATTCTAACAAGGTGTCAGGGCCATTTGATAGGGGACAAAAAAATGACAAAAAAAAAAGAGGAAAGAAAAAACAGAATTAATGGATGAAAGATAAAAAAGAAGAAGAAGATTGAATAAATCTGAAGCCTTTGAGACTTAAAAAAATAGTACAAACTCATGTAAGAAGAAAATGAAGAAAAAAGTGTAAAGGGAATATTAGAGATAAAAAACTTTCACATCTAAAAATTAAAAAATAGATTACATCCTAAACTTTATATATTGATTATCTATCTTCTAATTTTTATATGTGTGACTTCTTTTATTTTTTATATTTTCTCTACTACTATCTTCTTCATTTTATTCTTGCTTAGACTTGTATTTTTAAAAAAAAAATAGAGAAAACATAACTTTGATTTTTTGAATTTTACTTGAGTTTTACTATAAGTCATTGTACTTTTTTTGGACTTTTAGGTTCTTATACTTTTATTTTTTGTTATTTTAGATCCCTTCATGAGTAGTATTATAGAGACTTAAAATACCAAAAACCAAAAGTGTAGGAAATTATAATACTAAAAAAAAGTATAAGGATCTATAGCAAAACTCGAGCAAAGTGAAGAATCTAAAATTATGTTTTCCTTAAAAAAAATATTAGAGATGAAAGAAGTCTCCTAAAAATTAAAAGTTTGATTATGAATATGTAAAACTCAGGATGTCTATGTTTAACCAAATGGCTTAAGTTATTTTGATGAAATAGACTATACTTGAGCATGTTTAGTATAAAGATTTTAATATAATCAACCTATCAATGAGATTCTTCTTGCCTCATTCCTTTAAGACTTCTATACCTTGTTATTATGAATCCTTTTGAACTCAAAAATCAAACCTTCAACAGTAATACAATCATCTCCCCAATTGCTTTTCACAAGTCTCAAAAGGTCAGGATGATTTTTCAACCAAACTATCTCAAATTTAAGGCAAAAACTATCCCTTTTTTATTTTTTTTATTCCTTAAATGTCTTTACATGTTTTTTTTTAAATACTACAAGGACAACTTCATTCACTAGAATGTAAACGATTACAAACAAAGAGAAACCTAATCAAGAAAGAAAAAACTCAAAAGGACACCATAGTAAACCAACAACACACCTATTGAGATGGTTCAGTGTACATAATAGAGTCACAAGGAACACAATAAGCCAGCTTAGCTAGATAGTCGACTTCCTTATTATCGTCTCTATAAACAAAATGAAAATTGACTGACCAATTCCCAAGTAAACAATCTTCTAGTAGCTTGAATAATATCATAGAAGGGGTGATAACTATGATTGTTCCATGTGATAGTCGGTATAGCATAAACACAATCACAAAAGATCTCCACAGTTCTAAACCCCTTCTTCCAACATAACTCCAACCCATGAAAAATATCAAAAATTTCAGCAATGCAAGCTGGAACATGGTCAAGCTTTTGAGTAAAACCTAAAACCCAATTACCATTTATATCTCTCAGAAGTCCTCCACACACACTACACCTATAGCAAGAACTAATCCACCCATCTCTAATCTAATGCTCTCATTTCTAGGATGATGAAAACCATCTTCTTACCTTAAGCCATGGCGGTTGTCAAATTTGGCATTAATCTTGGAGTTAGCAGCCACTTTGAAAAGGAAAGAAAAAGGGTCTTTCAGTGAGTCTCCTTCCTTTGTCTGGAAAAGAAACTTACACCTATCCTTCTAAATGTTCCAGCAAGTATATGCAAAGAGAATATTCCAAGAAACAACTCTAGTGAAATGATTTCGAGCATTATGTTTTAAATTCCATGAAATCCATACTCTTTTATCAAAACTAAAAAAAATTTCCATTACATCTAGATGAACATATGCAATCTACCATTTCCTGGCATATAGGCAATCTCGAAAGAGGTGTAAATGTCTTCTGTAAAGGAACATCCCAAAGGGCACTTTTCATCACCCGCAAGTCCTTGTTGCTGCCTTAACTTCATTGTATATACTTGATCATGCGCCATCAGCTAGAACATTGTTTTGATTTTCTCAGGTATTTTCCATCTCTAAATGTTGCGCCAAAAGGGATCTCTATGATCTTCCCTACTTGTAGAGAGAACATAATAACCAAAATTTACAGAATAATTACCATCATTAGAGTAAATCCACAAGTGTTTATCCTCTCCTCTCTCTTCAAAAGGGACTCTCAAGCTAGCAATGATATTTATGACATGATTCAATAACCAAAGCCTCATTTTGGGTGTATCCCATCTACCTGAAGGAAGAACATAATCCTTAACACATTCATGCATATTGTTGCACCTAAAAATGTGACGTGGATGGTGCGTGAGAGAGGAAGTTTCGGCTTTCGGAGCGAAAATCGATGAAACAAGAATTGCCATTAAAATTTTGAGGAAAATTTTAGGAAACTGTTTAAAGGAGATAAGGATGGTGTGCGAAATGAGAAACAAGTTTAGGAGTCAGTTGAGTGTGAAAAAGGTGTTAGGCACCCCACAACTGTAACACTTGCCTCGAGTGTTATCCAAAAATCACACAATTCAATAAACTAAGTGTGCTTAAGGAGTTAATCCTAAAATCAACTTAGGAAACAAACTATTTAAATCACTAAGTAGATACACGATTGCAAAATAAACATTTAAAATCTTTTTTTAAAAAATAATTTATAGGTTTTACCTATAGCGCACGGAAGCAAGTTAGGCAAAAGCGAGGTAAAAAGATGCTGTCATAACAGCAGAAAGCCCTCCCAGGCCAACTTTCGGGAGGCACCATTCTGTCATTCGGTCCCCGATCGAGTAATTTTAAAAGCTCATATGTCACATTCAAAGGGTACTATAAGTGTATCAAATTTTGAAAAGATCCAACGGTCAGATTAAAAATTGAACATGTTACAAGTTTGGTCATTTTTGCTATCATGATAGCACCTCCGGACTAACTTCCGGAGTGCACCATTTTATCATCCGACCTCTGATCAGAGTGATTCTAAAGCTCACATGTCACTTTTAAAGGGTACTATTAGAATACCAAATTTTGAAAAGATCCAACAGGTGGATTGAATTTCATGCATGTTGTAACATCATTATTGTTGCTGTTATGACAGCTCCTCCGGACCAAATTTTGGAGTGTATCGTTTCTCCGTCCGATGTTTGATCAACATGATTCCAAAGCCCACACGAAGTTATAAAATTTTTTACTTGTGATCCAAATTTTAGAGAAATCCAACAGTCGGATTAAGATTTGAACACCTGGATGCAAAACTACAATTTTTTGATAAAAACTATTTTTAAAATTATCTAAATCTCACCTTAATGGTCACAAACCTGTGGAAACACTTTAAACACATCAAATAGGATTAAAAATACTTGATAGAACATTTAAATGATAGAAAAACCCTTTATACTAAAATTTGACCACCCAGGTGCAATTTCTCAAAATGGACCCTAAACCCCCAAAATGCATAAATCACACAAGAGTGGTCAAAAACTATTCCAATATCAT